TTGGCATTTTAGAGCTATAAAACTGGAACTCCACTCTATTTCTAAATTTTCGTGTGTTATAGCCCACGCCTCCTGCATGGGCCCGGGCGACCGGAATTTGATCTCCTAAAATTTTGCTGGCCCATCAAAAAGAACAAATGGAATAATAGTCACCGTCTCTATATGACTGTTACTCGTTTAGTTGCCTTTCAGTGCCATAAAACTAAAATTCCGCCAGTTTGCTAGCTTTTTATGTACTATAGGCCACGCCTCCTACATGGGCCTCGGCGATCGGACCCAGATCGCCTAAAATTTTGTCGGCCCATCAAAATTGACCTAAGGAACAATATTCGCCGCCTCGCCATGACCGTTACTCATTTTTCTGTGCTTTAGGGCTGCAAAACTAGAATTCCGCTCGATTCTCATATTTTCTTATGTTATAGCTCACGCCTCCTTCATGGGCCCAAGTGGCCGGACCCGGATCGCTTAAATCTTGCCGGTCCATAAAAACGACCAAAGGAACAATAGTCACCGCCTCGCCAAAACCGTTACTCATTTTTTCGCGATTTAGGACCATAAAACTGGAATTCCGGCCAATTCCTAGATTTTCGTGTGCTATAGTCCATGCCTACTGCATGGGCCCGGGCGACCGGACTCGAATCACCTAAAATTTTGCCGGCTAGTAAAAACGACCTAAGAAACAACTGTTCCACTTGACCGTTACTCGTTTTTTGACATTTTAGGGTCGTATAATTAGAATTCAACCCGATTCTCAGATATTCGTGGGCTAGAGCCCACGCCTCCTACATGAGCCCAAGCAACCGGATCGGCTAAAAATTTAATTGGCCCATCAAAAACGATCTAAGGAATACTAGTCACTGTCTCGCCATGATTACTCGTATTTTGGCATATTAGGGCCACAAAACTTGACTTATGCCAGATTCCCAAATTTTCGTGTGCTATAGCCCATGCCTCCTGCATGAGCCCATAAGACCGGACTCGAATCGCCTAAAATTTTGCCGGCCCATAAAATTAACCCAAGGAAAAATATTCACTGCCTCGCCTCGACCGTTACACGTTTTTGGCATTTTGGGGCCGTATAATTTGAATCCTCTTCGATTATCAGATTTTCGTGTGTTATAGCACACGCCTCCTGCATGGGCCCGGGCGACCGGGCCCAGATCGCCTAATATTTTTCCGGCCCATTGTAAACGACCTAAGGAACAATAGTTACCGCCCCGCCATTGTCATTACTCGTTTTTAGTGTTTTAGGGCTATAAATTGAAATTTCGCCCGATTCTCAGATTTTCTTATATTATGGCCAACATCTCCTGCATCGGCCCGGAGGACCGAACCCGAATCGCCTAAATGTTTGCCTACCCTTCAAAAATGACCTAAGGAACTATAGTCACCGCCTCTCCATGACTACTACTCTTTTTTTTGTTTTGCCTTTAAGAGCCACAAAACTTGAATTCTGCCTGATTCAAAGATTTTTGTGTGCTATAGCCTAAGGAACAACAGTCACTGCTTCGCCATGACCGTTAATCGTTTTATGCCGTTTTAGGGCCGTAAAATTAAAATTTTGCTTGCTTTCTAGATTTGTATGTATTATAACCCCCGCCTCCTGCATAGGCCTGGGCGACCAGAATCGGATCGCCTAAATATTGCATGCCCATCAAAAAGGACACAAGGAACAATAGTCACCTCATCGCCATGGCCGTTACTCGTTTTTTTCCTTTGAGGGTCATAAAGCTGGAATTCCGCCCGATTCCAAGATTTTCGTGTGTCATAGCCCACGTCTCCTGCATGGGCCCTGGCGATCGGACCCGGATCGCCTAAAATTTTGCGGGCCCATAAAAAATGGCCTTAGGAACAATAGTCACCTCTTCGCCATGACCGTACTCATTTTTTTTGCCTTTGAGGGCCATAAAACTAGAATTTCGCATGATTCCCAGATTTTCATGTGCGACCAGATGCGAATTGCCTAAAATTTTGTTGGCTCATTAAAAACGGCCTAAGAAACAATAGTCGCCGCCTCTCCATCACTGTTACTCGGCTTTTGGCTTTTTTGGGCCATATAACTGAAATTCTGCGCGATTCCCTGATTTTCATGTATTATAGCCACGCCTCCTGCATGGGCCTGGGCGACCAGAACCGGATCGCCTAAAAGTTCGTCGGCCCATCAAAAACGATATAAGAAATAATAGTCACCGCTATGCCATGACCGTTACTCATTTTTTTGCCTTTGAGGACCATAAAACTGGAGTTCCACCAGTTTTTTAGATTCTTGTGTACTATAGCCCATTCCTCCTACGTGGGCCTCGGCGACTGGATCCGGATCGCCTAAAATGTTGTCGGCCCATCAAAAACGACCTAAGGAGTAATACTCACTGCCATGCCATTTATTACTCTATTTTGGCGTTTTAGGGGCATAAAACTGGAATTCTAACCGATACCAAGATTTTCGTATGCTATATCCCACGCCTCCTGCATGGACTCGAACGACGAGATCCGGACCGCCTAAAATTTTACCGCCCATAAAAATGACCTAAGGAACAATAGTCACTGCCTCTCCATGACCATTACTCATTTTTTACATTTTAGGGCCACAAAACTGGAATTTCACCTGATTCCCAAATTTTTATGTGCTATAACCCATGCCTCCTGCATGGGCCCGGGCGAACGGACCCGAATTGCCTAAAATTTGCCGGCGCATCAAAATGAACCTAAGGAATAATAGCCACCACCTCGCCGGGATTGTTACTCATTTTTTGGCGTTTTAGAGTTATAAAATTGTAATTCCGCCCGATGCCAAAATATTTGCGTGCTATAGCCCATACCTCATGCATGGGCCCAGGCGACAAGACCTGGATCGCCTAAAATTTTGCTGGCCCATCAAAATGGCCTAAGAAACAATAGTCACCGTCTCGCCATGGCCGTTACTCATTTTTTAGCATATTAGGGCCATAAAGCTAGAATTCTGCGCGATTCTCGGATTTTCATACTCTCTCCACATTTTAAGATTTAATGACAAAACGGTAAAATTTATAGTTGCAGTTCAAATTAATGCATCACGTGTCATAAATATAAATAAAAAGACCGTCTTAAAGTAGATTGATTTACATATGGAGAAATTCTATTGGAAGATGAATACCTTGAAAAAATAGAATTATTCTCTCATGCCATATAGAAGTTTATTAGGTCATCTCTTTCTAATAAATGACGTTATATTTTCTTAAAACCTTTTTTCCTTACTATCAAGTAATCGAAGTGAAGTAATGCTCTATTTTTTCGAATCCAGTATTCTATTATGAGAATTCTAGGCAAATAGTAGCTTAAAAATATTAAAATAATTTTTTTCAAGTGTAAATACTTTAAAATGTATTTTTGAATGACTTATTTTATATAATGGCCATACGAAATTCTACTAATTTTGAAGAGAAATGTATTTGGTATCCTCATGGTATTGGTAATGGCCTAGTAGAGCCGTCAATATGGGCTTGGCCCGTTTGGCCGGCCCAGCCTAGCCCGTAATTTAGCAGGGCTGGGCTAGAATTTTTGGAGCCCATTTAAAAACGAGACTTTTAAGCCCGGGCCGAGTAAGCCCGTGGTCCGTGAGGCTTCACTCAGGCTGGGCTGGGCCGGCCTGTGGCCTAATAAAAATACGTATTTAAAATATATTAAATAAAAAATTATATGACAAAAAATAACAAGAAGAATATCCCAAGTTTAAAGTTTATTAAGCTCATCATATTAAAAGACCAAAGTCTTGAAACGTTAATTAGTTTTAAATTTAATTATTCTTAATATATAGCTAATTAATATAGCAAACGAATTGTAGATGTAGATGAAAGTGAAGATGTTAAGACAACCTTCTCACAAGCGGATTCCAATGTATTTGATGAAGATCATGTGTCGGATCTCCCATAAGCGTCATGGACGTTCTCTTGAATAGTTTTTTTTGAGTTTTGACTTTTAGTGAATGAAATGGTCTTGTCTTTTACCTTTTTAGTGTTTATTGTGATATATTGGAATAATATAAGAAGTTATTAAGTTTTGTAAAAATTTTCCAATAAGATTTTTTCAAGTTTTAAATCTTATCTTTTTTTTAGGTTAGAATAAAGAAAAAATATAAAATTTTATTTTTAAAAAATGATGGGCCGGCCCGTGGGGCCCGCAACCCACATTGGGATGGGGTTGGCTGACCATTATAAGGCCCATCAAAATGGTGGGCTAGCCCAGTCCGGCCCGTCAATTGCTAAAGCCTACGTGGGCTAAGCTGGGCTAGCCCGGCCCCGCCTATATTGATAGCTCTATGGACTAGTGTTATATATTTGACCAATTAGTAGTGAGATTTGACTCTATTAAATTAATAAACGCTTTGGCGGCGACCCAAGTCGCCACTAAATGTTACATTTTCGCAACTGATAAGGTTGCCTTTTTAACTAGCGACCAAAACTTAGGGCTTTTGGCGACTTCAATCGCCACTAAAGTATAGTTGCCACTAAAACTCGAAGTGCATTTTCTTAGTTACTTTACTTTTTCTGCTATTTGCGGCAAGTTTAATCGCCACCAAATAAATACTTTGGAATATGATTCGATTACGAAAGTATTTGACTAGTTATTTTATTTTAGGGAAGGAGAGGAGCTTCGTTTTTTTATTAAATCACTTTAAAACAACAGAATATTATTATATTATGTAACCAAACTAGCAACTCATGTCGATGTTTTAGCTTGAAGGAGAGCTCTAATCAACTCTGTTTAATTAATTCGTCTTGATAGCGGTAGGTTATCGGTAGGTAAAAATTTATCCGCATCGAATATATATTTATATGCATTCCCTCCTTTTCGTCTCCTAAAGCTCCTGAGTTCATCTCCACATTATAGAACCACATATATAGTGGCAAAGTTGTGTCTTCTTTTCACTCAGCAGCATCCCCCCCACCCCCCGACACACACAAGAGAACCTTATAATACATAAAAGAAATTAAAATACAACACTCTTAGACTAGGTGTAGTGAAAGGCAAATACAACACTCTTATAATAGTGGATTCTATTATATGCATACATTTTAAAGTTGTTCTAAATATGTATTCATAATTCGAGCCGAAAACAATAAGTTTAGCTGATCTCACAGAATTAGCCCGAGATCCACGTCTCAATATAATCTACAGATAATTTTTAGGGATAAGGCAAAGTTCGTTTTTCTTATGCATGGTAATTCCAGGCCTCACATTTGTGTCAATGTCTTCTTTTTTCACTCCATAAGGTAACTCCCAATCAAATGCATAAACAAGATTTGACAAAGCAAGTTCCATGGATGCAACCCCAAGTGCAATACCTGCAGAAACGGATTCAAGATTTAATTTTTATAAATTCAAAATTCTAAGCTATTTGAAAATATGTATATTAGTTAGCAGCTGTAAATATCTATTTGGCCGAGCGACAAAATGTATAATTTTCCCTAAAAAAGTTGTGGGTTCGATTAAATACCTGGGCAACCTCTTCTGCCTGCACCAAATGGAAGTAACTCAAAATCTTTACCCTTGTAATCGATATTGCAATTCAAGAATCTCTCGGGTATAAATTCTTCTGGATTTTCCCATATTTCAGGATCCCTCGCAATAGCCCAAGCGTTAACATGAACTATGGTTCCGGGCCGAATTTCATAACCTTCTAATATTGTTTTTTCCATTGATTCTCTTGGAACTAGAAGTGGAACTGGTGGATACAATCTAAATATTTCCTTTATCACTGCTTTGAGATAAGGCATGTTTTGGACATCTTCTTCATTTACAATGCCTTTCTTCCCAACTGATTTTCTGATTTCTGTTTGAACTTTTTTCATGGCTTTTGGATTCTTTATCAAGGCTGTCATTGCCCAAACAGTTGCAGCTGCACTAGTGTCTGATCCTGCAACTAACACATTCTACAAGAAAAAGAAAATAAAAGTTGTAAATTCATGAGAAATTCTCAAGGCAATAATAAACACATTGATTTTTCGAAAAATAATTTCCGTCATACTAAACACACCCTAAAAGTAGCAAAATCAATCCATCTTTTAGTTATCTGCCCAACCAATTTTAAAGGGGCTGGTGTTGACCGATTTTCTGGCTTGACCCGAGTGCTCAAACTTGAAATGACTCATCAAACTATTAGGTTAAAAGGATCAATTAGTGTAGCTTGATGGTCAAATTGCAAACCAAAATCAAACATTCAAAATTAACTTTGGAAATTGAGAATTATGAAGATTTGAAAGAACTTAAACTAATAATTTAAGAAAAATAAGTTAGCTTTCAATTATTATTCAAAAAGCAACAAAAAAAAGGAGGGTAGGTTCGATCATGTTGAGCATATTGGGTCATGACCCGTCATTTAACTTATCTTGACCCGACCTGTTTTGACTCGGGTAAACTTTGGGTGGGTTGGATCACGGCCTGTTTTAACCATGTCCATGTATGGTCCAAGCCGCCCATTTAACACCTCTACGTGCGTACACTCGTACACATACACATACACATATACATAATGTGTGTGCGAGCACGTCTAAAGTAGGTAAGTTAGGGAAATTACCATGAGAAGTCCTTTAATATCCTCCATAGTAAGATCAATTGGTGTTAATTGCTCTTTCTTCAATTGTAGCAAAAGATCAACAATATCTCCATCCATATATTTTGGCCTATTGGGATTGAGATGTTGCTCAATGAGTTCTTCATAAAAATTATCCAAATCCTTGAAATTCCTCTCAAGTCTATATATCAATCCACTTATTTTATCAATCCAACTTAAAAAAGGAAAAAAATCAGATACAAAGAAACTAGCCATCATTTCTTGTGCCTCAGCCAAAAGAAAATCAAATCTCTTCCTTTCATGTGCTTCTTCTTCAAACCTAACACCAAAAGCAACTCTACAAATAATAGTACTAGTTAATGAAATCATTAAATTACTCAAATTGGTAATTTGTGAAGTAGAAGCTTGTTTTGATATTTTCTTAATCATTCTAAAAACTTCATCTTCACGAATTGGAGTAAATAATTGAACTTTCTTTAGACTAAAANTCCAAGCAAAGAGGGGCATGCTGTGAACACCTAATTTTTGACCACACCCAAATTCTATACTATTTTAGTGTAAATATTTTTTCTAAGTCTAATCCTAATATTTTAAATCTTTTATCTTATTTTTAATAGATTTTATTTGAGAAAAGTAAAAAAAAATTACAAAAAAAATAATAATAATATTCACATGCTTATATTATAAATTTTGTTTCTACTTATAAAGAGAAAAGAAAATTTACAAAAAAATATATGATTTCTTTTAATTAGAATTATAATAAATAAGTTAGTTTAGCTTTAGTATGTTTTGGGTGTCATTTAGTTATAGTGTAAATATTTTGTTTGACTATATTATTTTAGTCTAAATATTAGGTAGCTAATTTTTTTTATCTCTATATTCTATTTTAAAGAGCAAAAAGAAGAAAAAAAATAATAAAATAAACAAAAAGATTAACTAAGCACTCCTCACGTATTCCCCCACGTCTCCATCCACAACCCCACTTCCTCACTTTACACTAGCACACACGATTGCCCCACGTCCCCACTTTTCATTTCCATCAACACACACATATCTAAATATAATACACATACATTTACAAAAGAACGAAAAAAGAGGTCAGAAGCAAAAAGAACAAAAAGATAAAAGAAAGAAGAGGAAGTCTGACAGAAGTCAGAACAACAAAACAAAAAGAACGAAAAAAGGCTTTGAGGAAAAAGAAAGAAAAAGCTAAAAAAGAAACAGAAGGCAAAGCAACAAGAAAGAAAAAGGGAGTTTGAAGACGGAGTTCGAGATTTCGTTCGCGGTTCCGAGTTCGAGGTTCTAGAAAAGTTAGCATTGCTAGCTTTGAAAATCAGTAGATTGTGACCGTGATTTTATTGTAAAAAGCTTCACAAAAAAGGTAATATTTAAATTTTTATCATCAACATGAAAGATAGTATTGTTGGTTCTGATTAATTTTAGCTTCATCTTTTTATTTCCATTTCTGTATCTTTGAGTTGTTTTGAGTATTTTTTTTTTCCGAACTAGAGTGAACTGAATATTTGTTTGGGTGTCGGTTCAAGCTAAATTTGATTACCAAACTTTTTGATTACAAATAATATTTCCATTATAGTTAACTTTAAATCTTTCAGGAATCATGTTATTAATTAACAATCATCTTTCAAAGTTTTTTTTTTTTTTTATAATATCATCCTTGCTGGTCTTATTTAACTCTTATGATGATATTGCAAAATTAGTTAATTTTTTTTAAGTGAGTGTGTTTATACGTGTATAGAAGAATTAAGGTGGTGAACAGTAAAATAATTCCCATGTTGATAGTTTATAACATGGTTTGTATATAAAGAATATGTTGTGAATTAATCATGTGTTAAAAAGGGTCGTCAATAGCAATTTAACTTGTAAAAATAATTTTTTTTTCTTTTTTTCGAATCCATGATACTTCAAAATAATTTTAAGTTTAGAAAGTGTTAATAAATACTTCTGACAATATTTTTCTTCAAATCTGAATAAAAGAAAAATAATATTTCCTCGATCGAAAAGATTGTACTGACTTTCCTCTAACTAGTCATAGTCTATCCAATTAAACTTTATATATTCCTATCCGAATTTTCTAAATAATGGTGGAACTTTGAAAGTGTTGACTTAAAATAATTTCCATTTTTTTTTTAAAGATGTTTAATTTATTACTCCATTAATCTCATATGTAGTATGAAGCAATTCACGTGGTAGTATGACATAGGCACGCTTTTAATCTATTATCGTGATTATGTACACGTTCGCGTGAAATAATTATGATTCCCAAATTAAGACCAAAGTACGCGTTCGCGCGACTTTGGCCAAACAATCTTAATAATAAAAAGCGTTATTAATCGTGGACACGTTCGCGTGACATGATTTTGACGCGCCAAAAGAAAAGAGTATACGTACGCGTAACTCAATTCTTTAATTATCAATAATTTAAGCAATTAAAAGCGGTAAAAGGGTAAATGCACATAGGTTTAAAAGCACGTAATTAAATAATTTAAGCCAAGTATAAATTTTAAAGCGACCGTGCTAAAACCATGGAACTCGGGAGTGCCTAACACCTTCTCCTGGGTTATCAGAATTCCTTACTCGGTCTTCTGTGTTTCGCAGATTTAATCAGAGTCAATTTCCTTGAATTGAGATTTTAAAATAAATGGTGACTTGGGACACCAAAACTCAATTCCAAGTGGCGACTCTTTGAATTAAAATAAATTAATCCCTTTTCAAATAATGTCACTTAAATTGGAAAAACTCCTTTTCTTTCCTATCATCCCTCGGAAAAAAAGGAGGTGTGACACATGGGTACATGTGTTTATAACATCATCAAGCCTCTGAGGGCATCCCATCATATCATCTCGGCCACTGTGGGCAAAATCATCAACGTATACCAGCTGATCAGGTGGTGGTGCATGTAACACCATAACCGTTCCCCCATATATATATATATATATATATATACGCGTATATAACGCCATCTGGTCATGGGTCTATGTAAATGAATGCAATGCATGAGAAGTACGTCAATAAAATCTTTCGGAGTGTCATAGGACCATTATGCCTTTGATTCAATGCATGAGAAGTACGTCAATAAAATCTTTCGGAGTGTCATAGGACCATTATGCCTTTGATTAATATCATAAAATAAACTTTACCAACTTACGTATTTTCTGAGACCCATGAACAGACGATAGAATAATATGACCCATGGGGAATCAAGAACATAAGCATCTCTAGTATTTCTATGAATAGAGTCATTTATGAAAATTATGCATTTGCTCATTTCGTTTGTGTCGTATAGATCATGCCAAAAGAAAGAAGGGATAGCCTTAACATACCTGAACCGATTCTCTTGACAATTACTCTAACACACGTTAATTGCGGCAAAACATGTAACGGAGGATCGAAGTAGGGGAAAATCTGTACGATATTCTTTGAGAAAGATTGCACTGTACTCCCTTAGAATCGAAAAATCCCGTTTTTATAACATTACGAAGTCTCGTATGATTTTTTTTGTAGCAAAATCACGTAGCTAACCTGAAGTCTTTTGTGACTGTGTTTGTTGAATCCTTTGTGATTGTAGAGACTTGAAATAAATTTATAGAGGTTTATTTATGTCTTTGAGTGTGGGTCCCACTTATGTGGTGACTTAGCCACACCAAACCTTCAAAATTTTCCACCTTTCACATGAGCTTAAGAGTCACAATTTGGAATTGAGGGGCTGCCACGTAAAGGTTCCATTGTCTTTATCCAAAGACCCTAATTAATCATCCACCAACTCCTTAATTAACTTATTAATACCCCACTAATCCAATAGTTAACTAATTATTCACATAATTAAGAATTATCTCAAATTACTTAAAATACTACTCATTTGACACACTTTATGTACCCTTCTATTATGGTCGTGTGGTACCTTGTATGGCACTAGTCCATAAATACCGGGTGTTACAGCTTGGACCGTATTTTATCTCAAAATGACAACTTTTGAAGAAACTCATTTTCTTCGATTTGCTTACCCTCTCACCTTCACGAATTTACTGATCCCTTGTTTGAAATAGCATAATACTTATTATCCCAAAATAATCTCATTCCCTAGCTTACATCGATTAACTTACGATGAAATTTTAGCGTACAAAACTGCGGGATGTAACATCTTATTTTCGAGCTTTCACCAATTTATTTATGGCGTACTTTCACGTACGAGAAATATGGGGTGTAACAGACCACTATTCATGTCTTTGTGGGATATCCTTATGAGGTAAAAGGGTACAAAGTTTTCAGTTTACCCACTAAGAAGATTCATGTTTCCAAGGATGTAATCTTCCATGAGCACATCTTCCCTTTTGCCATTTTACTTGGCTCCTCCTCTCATCTTCCTTCAGTTTTTGAGTCTGTTTCTTCTACACAGGATGTGCCACTTACTGAGGCACATTCTAATACTCATACACCTCAACCATCAACAGGTATTGATGATGTCTCCACTACAGTCTCACCTGTAGACAACTCAGCTGTACACTCTCCTAGTAACTCATCACATGTTATTCCTTCACCACTTTTAATCAAGCCAACCAGGTACCTAGAAGGTCTACTAGAGAACATCACCTACCTGTGCATTTGAAAGATTATATCTGTTCCATACCTAACTTACACCTTGATACACATCCTACATCTATTTCAACATCTTCCAACCACATCCACTTTAGATTCCTTTTTCTCTCTTAATGCTCTTTTCTCTAAACATCGCCATGTTTCCTTCACCTCCTTAGTTCCTGATAGTTAGCACCTTGTGCAAAGTGTTTGTCATGATAGTGAGCCAAACTCTTACGAGGAAGCAGCTTTAGACCCTGCTTGCAAGCAGCCATGACATTAGAGTTTGAGACACTCCATGCCAATCACACTTGGGACTTAGTTCCTTTGCCTATAGGGAAGAAGCCAATAGGCTGTAGATGGGCGTATAAAATCAAGCACAAAGCTGATGGTAGTATTGAGAGATTCAAGGCCATGTTGGTGGTGAAAGAATATACTCAGCAGACTGGTATTGACTACACTGAGACCTTTTCACCAGTTGTGAAAATGACCACTATCAGGGCACTCATAGCAACTGCAGTAAAGAAACATTGGGGAATCTTTCAACTTGATGTAAATAATGCCTTCATAGGGATCTCCATGAGGAAGTGTTCATGGATTTACCTCCTGGCCTATTGGTTGATGCACCTGGACTAGTGTGCAAACTGAACAAATCACTATATGGCTTGAAACAGGCCAGTCGACAGTGGTATGCTAAACTAGCTGAGGCTCTATGCTCCAAAGGATATGTTCACTCCCTTAGTCACTATTCTCTATTTTACAAGAAGACTAACTCCTCTATTATCTTTGTTGTTGTTTATGTTGATGATGTAATCATTACAGGAAACAACTCAAAGGAGATTACCTTGTTGAAATTTTTTTTGCATGCTCAATTTATGATCAAGAACTTGGGAAGATTACACTATTTCCTAGGTTTGGAAGTTCTCTACAGGGATGATGGTGCCATAATCTCCCAGAGGAAGTTTGCATTTGATCTATTGAAGGAGTATGAGTGCCTCCATTGTAGTGCTTTTAGTTCATCACTGGATCTTAATGTTAAACTCAAAGTTAAGGAAGGTATGCCCCTAACAGATCTTTCTATCTATAGGACCCTGGTAGGTAAGTTGAACTTCCTCACAAATACAAGACTGGATATTGCATATAGTGTGCAACAACTTAGTCAATTCATACAAGATCCCAGGGAACCTCACTTGAAGGCTGCTTATTGTTGATACCCAATTTTTTCCTAGATATTTTTTTATACTTAAATACTTTCGAAAAGACATATATATATGCATATATGAGCATACCCAAGTGTTTTGGTATTTTTCCAAGTTTTTTTTTTTAAAAAAAAAGATTTTTTAAAACCAATTTATTGTCTATTTTAATACTATAAAATTCAATAATTATTCCCAAAATTATCATTTTTGGTGAATAATTCATTTTTATTTCTCATGTTTATACTAAAATATAGTTTAAATAAATTTTGCATATTTTTTACACATTTGTTTGGAATTTTTAAAGCTAAATTGCATATAATTGCAATTATAGCCTATTTTACAATTAATTGCATTTTATAATTATAAAATTATTTCCAATATTTTTAGATTAATATTTATACATTATTAAATAGTTCAGTGTTTTTAATTTATTTTTAAAATTATTTTAACTATTTTTATAAAATAAAAAGAGAACTAGGCTATTTAACATGTAGCCTCATCTCATTACAATTATGGCCCATTCAGATTTCAATTCTAACCCCCAAATTTCCCAGCCCAATTTCAACTTAGACCCGACCCACACCCAATTCAATTACACGGTCCAACTCCAATCTAATCTGAGCCGTTGATCATATGAGATCAACGGTCCAGATTTTATTTCCTAAATTAAATCCCAACTTCCCTCCCCCGACCCCTCATTTTTCACGAGACTCTCTCTCTCTCTCTCTCTCTTGGTCTCTTCCTCTCCCTTCTCTCTAGAACCTTCTGGTTCTCTCTTCTTCTCCGATGAATCCACCGCCTCTCCGGCCACCTCCAGCCTCACCTCTCTCGACCCCCAGCCGCCGTGAAATCTTGTTTTGTTGATTCCCTCTATCTTCGAGACCCCAGAAGCCCCACCATACAAGATGGTCACCGGAAGCTTTGCCTGGTTCGTCTCCGGCCATTCTCCGATGGGTTTTGGTCCGATGGTGCTACGAACACCATTATTAATGAGTTTCACAGCCAGGTTTCTTACCTCTCACTGGTTTCTTACGAAATCCTAATTTCTACCTAGACCTCTTAAATCTCTGTCTTTTTAACGATTTTTAACTTACTCTTTTGTGTTTTACACTACTCTCTACTCGATCTTTACGATTGCTCAAGTTTTCAACGTTTTGTTCTTCTTTTTAAAACTAGGGTTTCTGAACCTCTTTCGAAATCACTATATCTTCTGATTTTTTTCTAGTACTATATGTTTGTGTTTGTATTTCTGCTTGTTTGTGTGATCTTCTGGGTTATTCCCCAATTTCTATGCTTAATTTTGTTCTAACGTTCCACTGATTCTGTGATCTCTTACTTAGGGTTCTTTGGTTTTGTGCCTATTGTGTTTAAATAGGTCTAATTATTTTCTATTTACTAAATGTTCTGCTGATTCTGTGCATCTCTTCGAATCCTTGATTTTTGTATATGATTTCTTTGGAGGTTTTCCACTGATTTGAGTCACTTCCTTGTTTGTGAGATGCTTTCCTTACTTGGTGCTGATTCGCTGTGATTTTCAATCTCGTCCGTGACTTCCTGAACCAATTTTTTCAAAAATCAGTCTGTAATCCGTAGGTTTATGTGCACAATATACTTTTTTTTAACTTTCCTTGTATTTATTTTGTACTTAGTCCCTATAACATGCATCATGCTATTCCTGTAAGAAAATATCAGTCTTGCAAAAAATCTTCCTTATTTGATGCAATTTGTACCGTTTGAGCTATGACTCCCTAATTAAGGGAAATCCGAGTCTTTAATTGATTCTAATAGGTACTCTTTCCATAATTGTAATCAGTCTATATGTATTACCTTATTTTCCACTTATTTTCAAAACTATAAATGCCCTACCCTCTCTTTAGCAAGACGAACATAAAATTCATTATTCTGAACTCTCTCTTACACACATAAGCATACTCAGTGTTCTCTCTTGTTTTCTACACATCCTCTCTCACTTTCGCTGTTGACTACTGATTACTCAGTCGGCTGGGAGCCACAACTGAGTGATTTTGGGGCTGCTCTACTATTCTACTGCTCTATACATTGCTACTTGCTTGGTTTGCATACTACTGCTCACTTCCCTGCACACTACTGCTCTATATTATCTCATCCTCGACTGGTATTCCCTCTATTTGATCTACAGCTTCCAAAACAATATGTTTTTATACGTACTGCATTTTATTTTGTTTCTTTTATGCTTTTACTTATGGTTCTGCTGTTCTTATTGCAACTAACATGCCCCTGTGTTAGTTCATTAATGTGACTATCCTTCTCTTAATTCAGCATGCCTACTGATTTGCTTAA